AATTCTTTTGTCCTCTTTGTTAAGATCTCTTTGTGTTCCGACGTTAGTTCATTTTTACTGTCTTAAAGTGAGATGATCTGAGAGAACTCCATAGGTTTATATCATAGAAAGAATACATTGACGAGGAAAGAATATTTTTTTCCCAAAAAAAATTGTCTCCTCGAAATTATTTAGTTTTGCCGCAAGTAAATTGGTTCAACACGACAAAAGATCTCTTTAAGGAAACAGATAATTTATCAGCATAAATATATAAACATATTTTCCAAAAAACTTCCAGCATTTCCACCCAGCAACACTCGTTACCGCGCTGAATTCGCAATTACCAAAAATACCGTATGGATTCTCTATCTCGTTACCCTCCACCCCTCATATTCCTTTGATGTTTACCCAGGGTTTCAACGATTCACTGTACCGGAAATAACGTAATTTGTCATGAACGTAAATGTTCGAAGGGCAGGTACGTGTGCTTAACGCCCTACGTAATGCAACACGGTAGACGAGCAATGTCAGTTCATTCTCTACCATTATTCCAGCCACGTAACGCTTGTATATTTTTCCCCTGCCATCGTGTGTGTTTTAGTTACATGGGAATTCTTAACCCCTCCGAGGTCGTAGCAACAACGACGCACCCCTTCATGCCTGACATTAACTGTCATCTTTAACAAGACAAGACTGACTAAGGAAACATCCAACTCCCAGGCTTTATTGGAAAAAGGTATAATCTCTGTTTCTTTAACCCCAATTTCTCGCCTCTTTTTCACTCAGTAATATTCCCTGACACTCACTGGGGCTTATATAAAACATAGAAACATACAAACATACTTTTGGTGATTTTTTTCAATTCTAATCAACATTTTTTTTCGATTTTTTGGGGGGAGGATGTCCTAATGGGGAAGTCTCTGCGATAAAATTAATTTAAAAAAAATAATTCTTTGTGATTTCAATGCAATATAACTGGAATTGATAGATTTAATTAAAAAACGAGTGATAGTTAATATATTAAATTTTTGTGTCATCACAAAATGTAAAAAATTTAGAATTTTATTTGAAATTTTGGAATTAAAAAATTTCTGACAATGCAGTTCTCCATTTTTTATTCACCGTAGGGGCTTCCCCTCTGGAATCCCCACCCATAAATTCAAAATCCTCGAATATCCACATGATCATCCACCCCTACAAACTACACACTCTCCTCTCTCCGAAGCACTTAAATCGCAGGCTTATTTCGTTTCATTAAATTTTACTTAAGACTCCCTCTACCTCGTCCTACCTCGTAACGAAGCACTTATGTATAAATCCCGAACAGACTCATCCCAGCCCTTCGATCGTACACAGAGGAACAGTTGGAGGAAAACTATAATTGGAAAAAATATCCTCCGCAAAATTATTTTCTATTGAACTCCAATTTCGCTCCATGATTACACCTCGTGTGGCAAAATTTTCCGCTATTTTCTACATAATTTTCATCCAACTTTTCCCTCCGTGCATCCAATATTGCAGTCGTTCACGCTCGAAACGAATAGCTCAACAGATAACGCGAAAAAGGAACTCGTCGACATTCGTCCGCCGGGGTATCTCAATCCCCCATCCATGTACCTTTCATTCTGTTTGAATTTCGTTTATTAATTTATCACAATGAGTATTTATCATAATAGCACTGCATTACTCGGGCTTGTAGCTGATTCACTATAATTAATCTTTTTTTCATTTTTATGAACGCAACGTCCCGACCTGTGCATACATTGACAGAAAAGAAGAAATAAATTGGTGGAAAAAGACCTCATAAACAATGAATAAATAATTAATAATAAAATGGTTTTTTTGTTCGATGCAAAAAACATTTTAAAAGCCCCCTCTCTCTAAACCTCCTAGCGGGGGGCTTCGCCCCCCTGGACACCCGTCTTGCGCCCCCACCTCGCGCCTCCTTGAGCGTTGTCACATTTTTCACTTTTGCTTCGACGTAAAATACTATGGAACCTTCGCACGATAAGTGGTAGGTTATGACGAGTGTGAAGTTTGCTACATCAGCCGGAGGCGAGGCATAGACATCATCAAGGAGGTCTAGAGTCTAAAATCGTTCATAACTTTTTAAATAATGATTTTATCGAAAATTAAAGTCTTGAATTTCGATTTTCGTATTTGAACAACGGATCGATTAAACGAGCCGGATTATTTATTAGAGGCACCGACGTCGGTGGCCGAAGCGGCTAGGTGCGAGCCTAGTGTGCGAAAGGTTGTGAGTTCGATTCCCCGTGGAACCGAGTTTTTCAACCGGAGGCTCCGGCGAGCGGGAGGTCGCTAATATAGTGACCGCCTGTACCGGCATGGGTTTCCTGTGGTTTCCCATGCTACTCCTATGTTCTATAGGAGTGCGAATGCGGTGCAGTGTAGAGTCCACAGCCATGCATAGGGTTGGATAGGGCCGATTAGCCAATCAGAGGGCAGAAAGGGCCGGAATATAAAAAAAAATATATATATTGATTAGAGGGTTAGGGAAGGGTCTGCCCGGAAGGGGCGGTCTCTGGACTTGGAGAAATGGCTGGTACTGGACCGAAAATCGTTCATAACTTTTTAAATAATGATTTTATCGAAAATGAAACTCTTGGATTGCCATTTTCGTATTTTAATAACGGATCAATTACACGAGCCAAATTTTTTGTTAGAGGGTCAGGGAAAGCTCTGCCCGGAAGGGGCGGTTTCTGGACTTTGAGAAATGGCTGGTGCTGGACCGAAAATCGTTCATAACTTTTTAAATAATGATTTTTTCGCCTTCGGCTCGCCCACAAACTTCACCCTCGTCATAACCTGCCACTTATCGCCCTTATATCACAATACACCATTTTATCATCAGAAAAGTATTTTCTCTATTCTTTCCTCTCAGTGTACGATTCCAAAAAAATGGTGATATTTTCTCTCGTTGAGTGGGTAGAACGGGAAAAAGAAATACGAGTGAAAAAAAAATTGTCTCGCAATTGAGTCGTGAACCCAGCATGATTGTTTTTTTTGCTCCCCTCCTTATTGAATTTCATCCCGTCATGTTCCATGGAGTTTATAAAATGTGGAAATAAATTCCAAGGCGACCTATGTACAGATATGTTATTCGATTTCGTACTGAATTTGTACGTTTTATTTGAGCAACATCTAGGCAGAAGCGTTTTACATTATTTTTTCCTCTCACTTTTCTCCCGTTTTTCTCATCAGTATAAAAGAACCCCTGGAGGTACTATTTTCGTCATTTCTTCGGGAAAAAATCCAAAGGAACATTGTCACGCAATTTATTCAGTACAATAACAGTGTTTTATTCATCTACGAGAGGAGCGCGTCAGGTGGATTGTTTCTTGAATATTTTAGTTCGCTCGTCTGTGCGAGGGATGCGCGTGTCGAGAGGATGTAAAAACGTGACACACGGTGTCACAATTGTCGAGAAAATATTCACCAAAGGTTGCAGTCGAGACGTCGCGTTCAAGCGATTTAAATATAATTTTTTTTCATTAATAATTTGTCCTTCATACCCTTAACAATTTATATCCGTTATTATAATCACAGTCGATGTAAAAAGGTGTACACAAGTGGGATGGTGTTCGCAATAGTATCATTCGTAGTGCATTTCATGAAGCTGAAATTAGGGGGAGATTCGAGAGCGGAAGATTCGATTTGGGGGAGTCTGGGGAGTTCACATTAACCCTAGTCTAGTAACCAAACGCGGGGCTGCGACTCTGGTCACCTCCGCGGGGATTCCCCGACGTGTTATTTAGGCTCTAGCGATGCCGAATTCACTCTACACTGACCGGGCGCGTTTAGCGAGTTTCCGGCACCGTCGCCTTTTTGAAGACGTTTGGCCTTGAGTTTAAATAATTCTTAGAGTCTCAAATTAAGATATTAGGACATGAATTATAGATATTCCAAACGTCTTTCTCGGGGATCTTCTGTTTCAAAATTATGATGTCTCATTTTTTTTCTCAATACTTCATTAGTTTTTTCTCCAATCATTTTTTTTTACTGATAATTTTGATTGCGTTAAAAATAGCGGTCATGAAGCAGAATTAGAATGGAAATACTGATGAGAGGTATTTTTCCTCAGAACAATATTCAAGATTTTTACGCCCTTTTGACGTCCACTAAATAAAGGGTGGGGAAAAGAAATGGGAAAGAAGGGGTCATCACCCTTCCGACACTCTCAATAAATTCAGAACTCAGAAAAATTGGAATAAAATAGATAAACCACCAAAAACGTCTCGTGATTCCACGTCTTAATGAGGAGAATGTCTTGTCATAGCGCTTCCGTCTTAAATTGATTCATAAAAATTATCGTGAATGTTCGAGAATTGTACTTCAGCACAGTATGAAAACGTTTTAAACGACCCATTTTCGCGTCTAATGCCCTAAATTAAAACGTCTTAAGTGTCGTTATTCGACCCTTAAACCCTCAAAAATCCCCTAAATCGTATACTGCGCTGTCAAATATTCCGCTCATTTCAGCTTCATTAAATTTTCACATCCTTCAACTTTCATTCCTCCGATTCAAGTATTTTCACTATAATATCAACAGCACACGATCGATAATGACCAAAAACGTTGGACATTTGTGGCAGTCACCCACTCGCGAGTATAAAAAATTCAACGAACAATTGTCCCAGCATTGAAACCCCCATCTGGATTCCCCTGCTCTCGTTTTATTTTTCCTTTTTATACGTTATTTTCCGTTCCACTTTCCCCCCTAGGTGAATTTACAAGTGATTTACGGGAGGTGTAGGAGCTCGTCCTTGGTTAACTGACACTCGTTAAAGTGTTGGAAGAACACGTTATATTTTTTTATTACTTCAATCCAATTTTCTTAGGCCACCACAGTTAATCCATTTTCACATGAAAAACACTCACAGAACGAATCTCGTTAGTTGAATTTTTTGGCTGTCGTGGTGAGTACGACGGGGCTAGGCGATACGCTGCGGTGACAGTGATAATAATGGTACACTGGCAGGGCCCTCCCCGTCGAGCGAGCGTCATACGGGCGTTTCAAAGGTCACCTGGAACAAAAAACAAGGGGAAAATTGGAGACGAACAGGTTTTTTCTTTAAAATTTTTAATTGTTTCAATTAATTTTTTTTATTGTTTTAAAGTGATGCAACTCATATTTTGGGTTATTTACACTATCACATAAGTATTACTTTTCAGGCATTTGAACAACAATTCACACAGCATTAAGGCGTTCGTTAGTATTCGAAAAATCTTAGTGTCATCGAATTTGGGCCAAAAAATGCGGAAACATTTTTTGATCAGAGTACCTCTTGCCAAGATATTTGACTGTGACTTTTAATTTGGGATACTCTGTATATCCCCTTTAAATATTTGTGGTCAGCTGCACGGAGAGAAAAGCGTAGAGGTTTATAATAATAATTCTTTTCAAGAAAATATAATGATAGTTCATAATCATTATATAAAATAAAATTAAAAAAATGAAAGTAAATGAAAGAAAAATAAAAAATAAAGATGATGCAAAATATAATGATAGTTTTTAATCATTATATTTTACTGAAAGGGATAAAAATTACCTAGAAAATCGTGGAAAATTTTGCTGTAGGAAAGGTGATCGTAGAGCGAAATGAAATTCAATAAAAAAATCCTTGTTTCTGAATGATATTTTACGATTCGTTCGGTAAAAAAACACATCTATGGATGCAAAAATTATCCTCCTGTGTAGTAAAATTTCAAAAAGGGATAAAAAAATAAATTTCACATATTTTTTTATTCTCTGTGTAGAACGTTTTCTGCTATTTACTTAAAAAGACAATAACATAATTGAGGATATATCCCCAAGTGCAGCTAGAGGTTGAGGTAGATACTGAGACGAGCTGCAAAATGATACGTGTCCATTGTCGAGCGAGTTAAGTGATGCCTCACAATGGTTAAGAGACAAGTGGAAAGAGAGATGAAAGAGGTAGAGTTGGTTGAGAGGGACTTGGAGAAAAATGTTGGACAGCAAAGAGATGTCACCAAGTACAAAAACCATCCAAAGCAATTCCCCGGGGTTGGATATCACTCTCTCGCGTTTCTTTTCCCCAGTTCCCACTTTACAACATGTATTCTTGTTGCGAAGTGGCGAAGCGTAGATTTTTCATGTTTTGTTGAATATTCAATCTTCGAGGTGATGAAGTAGGGGAGGATGGGGTAAAACGGACACTTTTTCAAAATTATTCATAACTCAGAAACAAATTGACCAATTGAGCTTAGTTTAGGCACGTCACAAAGGGAAAGAAGTGTTTTTTGTATTGAAAAAAAAAATTATTATATTTTATCAACATTTCAAACCCTCATTAACATTTAAAAAAGAGTCAAAAGTGTCCGTTTTACTCCAACCTCCCCTACTTTAAAAACTCTTGTCAAGAGGCTTTTTTTAGTACTCGAAAAAAATTTTTTTGCAAATTTTTGTTCTAAAATCAACATTTTTTGTGAAAATGAAATGGTTTCATTAATTCTTAATTTTGATAATAATCTTCTTAATGATGAACGACTCTAAGAACTTATGTCAAAAGCCATTTTTTTAGAACTCAAAAAAAATATTATTCGTAAATTTTTTAAATCAATATTTTGTGTGAAAAATACATAATGGAAAAAAAATCGAAATGAAGAAAAATTGTGTAATTTTATGTCGAATTGAAAATCTGCAATTTTCAATTCAATTTCATGTTCAATTTAAAAAAAGTGAAATAAAATGTTTCCTTCGTTTTTCAATTTTTATCACAATATTCTCAATAGAAGTGTCCCTTTAGGCATTTTTTTACCTATAATTTTTATTTCAAGATCACTCCACACCCCCGCCATCAGAACAAGATCTCCCCTTCGATAAATTCCCATTAATTCCCGTTCGAGCCCCGATATACCCCCACAAGTTGACAGAAACAAGAGTCTCACCTCACGAGCTCCTTTTTTCGAGCGCTTTCGTTCCAGCTTAGGGGTGGTGGGCAATAGTGTGTAGTCACCACCGGAGCCACCGCCAACACTGCGTTGTCTCGTTAAGGGTGGATGTGTGGCAGTGGGTATACGAGGGGGTGGCGAGAATGTCACGCCCTGGGGCAATAGTGTGTAACCGAGGTTTGGGGTCGGTACGAATGGCGATGTCGAAGGAAAATGATTCGCCACTACTGGAGTCCAGTACTGGTGGCCGTAATGCTGAGGTGAGTTACCTGGAAATTAAGAAATTTGAATATTTTGGCCTGCGGAGGGTTACTCACCAGTTATTGTCGACTGGGACATGCCATTCAATATTTGAAGCCTTGTGCAATTTCATTTTTTCTTCCTCTCAATTCCATTTATTATATTCATGATTTTTTAAAATAAAAAATTCTTCATTTATTTTTTACAATTTCTCTATGAAGATGTTATTGAAATAATCATTTTTATCTTTTAATCATTAAAAAAAAAAATTCCCGGAGTTCTATTGTGAATTATTCAATTCTATTCTATTGAATTATTCAATTATTCTATTTCTGTTCGATTGTTCAAGTTTATGTTGTTTTCTTCCTTCCAATTCCACTTATTATATTCATTATTTTTTTAAATAAAAAATTCTTCATTTATTTTTTACAATTTTTTTATGAAGATATAATTGAAATAATCATTTTTATTTTTCAATCATTAAAAAAAAACAATTCTTAAAGTTCCATTGCGAATCTAGATATAAATCAAAGACGAATAAAAATTCAGGCAATTTTCCTATTAGGAGGTTCACTCTGAAAAAAAAAACTTCTTCGTTTTCTGAGAAAAAAAATTGAAATACTATTTTTTGTGTGATTTTCCCTCGGGAATCTGATTTCATAGGTGAAATTTATCTCTGACGGCTAAAAATGAGAGATTCATTTTTTTAAATCCAACGTATTTTTCATTTTTTACGTAAAAAACGTATTTTTAAAAAATAGTTGTTCGAATATGATCACAAATTTGCACTTCTTAATTATGAAAAAAGTGGGAGAAGACGCATTTTTAATTGTATCGGTTAACCAAAAAAATGCGTTATTTTCAATAGATCGATCATATTCTTAAAAATTTTTATGAGTGTCAATTAGAATGAGTGAATTTCCACAAGAAGAATGAAAAATTAATGAAAACCGTTCAGAAAAAATGCGCCTATTCGAATTTTAGAGAGAAAATGCACTGGCGAAATCTGGATTACTGAGAGGAACCCTCTCAACTGTAGAGTAACAGAAGACTAGATAGATGTATAAGGACCACTGAACGTAGAGTGAGCATTGATAAATAAAGTTTACACATAATATTTGGGCAGGAAATTTTTTTCGTGAGATACTAATCGAAATTTTGAGGAACGATTAAGTTTCAAAATGCATCTTCTCCTCCATTTTTGATAATTAAGGAGCGAACATTTGTGATCAAATTAAAAGAACTGAAAAAAAAACGTTGCGGATTTTTGTTGAGTCGCCTTTTCGATAAAAAAACAATCAGCTCCCTAATTTCGAGTGACCGGAGACAATGTTGATCGACAAAATCAGATTCCTTCGTAAAAATCACGCGGAAAATGGTATTTTAAAATTTTTTCTCTCGAAAAACGAAAATGTTTTTTCCTGGAGAGAACCTCCCCTTAAAATTTCAACACTCCTCTCAACTGGTGCACCAACCCTCCACATAATTTTAATCAACCAATTAATTATTGCGTGATAGCTACGTGGATTACTGTGTCGCCTCTCCTTCCACGTATTGGATCTAACTCGTCCAGCAGTTTCCGTATTAACAGCGTCGACACTAACGCTCCTGGCAATTCCCCGGTAAGGATTTGAAACGGCATTTTCATGGGCCGCTGCAACTCCAGCCAACTGCTCATTGAGTGCGTACAATTTGGTCGTTATGTCCTTGCCAATTAGGGTTGTCAATACGACCTTCAACAGAGGACGGTGGCGCAGTACTCGGAGTAGTTTCAGTCGTGTCCAACATATGTAGGTGCTTGTCTCCTCGGCTCGTATTGTTACTTGGAAGACGTCGTCCAGGTTCTCGTGTGTCGCCTCCCACTCCGGGGAATCAACGAACTGATAAGCTCGGATGTAGTGCAGGTGTGTACCGTCGCACGTTACTTTCAATCTTAAAGAGAAGTGCGAAAATCGTTGAGGGGGGATCGAAATAGGATTGAAAATCCTTCTATTCGCAAATGGAGGTCTGTTTTTTTAATACTTTTCATTTATTCCTTCGGTGAAATAAATCGGTGATGGTAAATAATTAATGAATACGTAGAATTGCTGATTCGTGACGATGGAAGATCATTTATTCAAGGATAAACCTCAGAAGAGTTCTCCAAAATATCTCGGAAATCGAAGATGAGTAAATTTTCATGAATATGTTATTTTAAAGTGATAGTTATCTCTATCAATAATATTTTCACCAAAACTTATTCATCTTCTTTAGAATAAATGATATTTACGAATAGTTGATAATAAAATTTACTCAAATTATCTCATTTAACGACTTCACTATTCAACCGGAAAACATCCGTTAGCTAGACATGAAATTGGTTCATCGTAGTGACATTGAAGAAAAAAATGAGATCAGTTGCTACACAATATCCCTGAATTTGAAGAAGTCGACAAAAATTTCATGAATACGTTATTCACAAGTCTCATTTATCTCAATCAAAGACATCTCCGCGAAAAGTTCTCTATCTTCTTCCCCTAAAAATATATTTCTCACTAATGGAGACTGAAATTGACTCTAGCTATCCTATTTAACGACTTCACTGTATATAAATATCATTCAAAATCATTTGAATTCACTGAAACACATGTGGTAACATTGAATCGAAAATCATTTTCTCACTTTAAACAAATTAATAAAGTTAAATAAGTAAAGAATACATGAAATTGCCAATGCAAAGAAGATGAAAAAATATTCATGAATAGCTTATTTCCAAGTCTCATTAATCTCTCCCAGGAAGCTTCCCACGAAAACATTCTCATTTCCCCACACTCAGAAGATATTCATCAACAACTGACACTAAAATTGACCTAAACCATCTAAGTTAATGACTGCACTATTCAACCGGAAAACATCCGTTAACTAGGCACGAAATTGGTTCATCGAAGTGACCCCTGGGATCTCCCCAATTAAAAAATCAATATCAATATCACTCTCGAGTTCTCCCAACCAGATAAAACTTGATTGCATTCGACAGCGTTATCCCGAAAATTACGGCTCCATCCCGAACGGCCTTCTTCCACACCGTAAAAAGAACTTAGTGGGCAATAAAAATTTGTCCCCTCTACTCCCCCACTCCTGAATATTCATCAGCTAAAAAAAAAACTCACTTGCCACGTAGTAATATCGATAGCCTCTCGTCAGCTGCGGAAACCCCCTCAGTTGCATAAGTCTGTCCAGGATCCAATTTGAGTATTCTCGCTTCTTTGGCAAGCTCTTGAAAGTGTTTCTTGCTCACGCGATATGGCTTGAAGAGTTTGAGATAAAGCTCCGCCAATTCTGGACTCAATGCTGGTGGTAGAAAACGGCAGGCTAATATAAGTGAATGTATGCCATTTAAGAGGCCAAGTGCTAAACACCAGAGCATAGCGTCAAGGGCACATATTGTTATGCCCGCCCACAATGCAGCAAGCATAAAGCCAGCTGTGAGACATGTACGTAATGCTAGTACTGATGCTTTGAAGGATCTCGGCACGAGAAAGGCTGCGGCGAAGAAGAGATTGGCTACCTGTAACGGGATATTTCAAGTGTACAATATTTCTCGCGTGATGGATGAAACAACAGATTGATTAATGAGTCAATTGGAGGGAGCGATTCATCTAGATTATGGGCATTGAGGGCAAGCGGTGAACCCAATCTCTTGGCCCGGAGGGAACCGGACGGGAGTTTAACTCGACTTTGTGAGACTACTTTAACTGTGGGTTCAACCGCGAAACCTCGCCACCCAGCGGATGAATGAAATTTTGGAGCTCTGAGGGACGACGTAGTTTCGAGTGGTGAAGATGAATGTTCGAGCGGATGCAGACAGAAAAGTTGGGAGTCTACATCAAACTCCTTTGGCAATTGGAATATGATATCTTCCAAGTGGTTACATCAGGGGAGGGTAGGGTGAAATGGAACAGGCGGGCAAAATGGACCCCCTGAGAAAAATGAAGTGCTTTTTTTCGTAATAATTTTATCAACTGTTTGTCATTTATTTATTGTGGAAATGAGCATGATGAATACTGCGGAAAACAGTGAGAATCAACAGGAATGTAATTCTGATGAATGGAAATTTCCATTGCTATCAGTCGGGCATCTCATCCTGATATCTTTCTCACCTGAAAGAGCTTGTGCTGCGCTGACTCCCATTCGTCGCAGTAGCCACCGTGCGGCAACACCGTAGCGTTCAACCTCTCCGTAACATTACTACGCTCGGTAGTATTCCACACGTCGATCCACAGCTCCGTGTAATTAACATCATCAAGCGAATAACCACCCCCAAGACTACTGACAATCTCCGTGTAATTGAAACTATATCCTTCAGTCGCATAGCTCGACGATGCATTGGTATCGATGAATGGACTTGCTGTTGTACTCGTAAGTAGACTGCTCGCAGACGTGTGAGCATCGCCCGGATTCGCCATTTTTCGTTTTGAGCGCGTGGTACGTGCCATCACCTTCTTCGCCTGCAATCATTCAAGGGGAAAGACAGGGAATTAGTTCGTTAGTGGGACAGTTTCCTTTTGGATAGACGGGAGTGACGATAATCACTTCGAAAACTAATGTCTGAATTTCAGACACGTTTGTAGACACTTTTCAAACACCTTGGGACATTAAAATGTATCTGAATCAGTGGAGGTATTTCAATTTCAGACATCAAGATGTCTGAAATTAAGATACAGACATCAATTAAATTTTCAGACACTTTTAAAGATTCAGACGTTTTTTGCCATCTGCCATCTTGAATTCAGATGGTTGTCAGACACCTAGTTTTTGCAGTGGATCAGTCAACTTTTCAGACATGAGAAATATCTTAAAAAGTAATGTTTGAATGGACTTTGCCGTCTGAATCACGTGAGATATCTTAATAATGAAATGTTTGAATCGCTCATAAATAACTAAATTTCAGATATGGAAAATATCTGAAAATAAATGCCTGAAATTTTTTAGACACAAAAAATGTCTACCATCATTTTCAGACAGAAATGGTGGTTGAAATTTTCAGACATTAGTCAGATTTTCGGACACTTTTGAAGATTCTGACGTTTTTTACCATCTGATATCTTAAATTCACATAGCTGTCAGACACCTGCCTAATGACTACATTCAAGATTGTTGTCGTCAGGTGATAAAGATATTTGCTCATACAAGCGAATTCCGTTTGCCCTTGTAGAGGACTAATTACAGATCCCTCCACCGCAGCTCGTTAGATCAGAACATGAAACTATAATGTCTGGAAATATCTACTACGGCTGTTATATATCGGCAGTTTTCCGAGGTCGAAGGGGTGAAAAGGGGCTCTGCGTGACTACCGCTGACGGCCGAAGGCCCACCCCACACCCGCTCCTATACTTTCTGTAATTCATCGCTCTCATACGTGCGCCAAGTTTGAGAGTCGGAGTTGAGCTTTGCCTAGATATAAGGGAACACAACGGTGGCCACCCACTGACAGGTGACGCAGCGGGACCGGAGGATTCGAGATACTATCACCTCCCCACGGGGCAGCTAGTTCACCGCCATCCCTTCGGGTTATGTAGGGGGGACTCTGGGATTTGGGTTTTCTGCTTTGTCACGTCCTTGGAGACGATTTTTTCGCTCGCACATCTTGATACCGTAATTTTTTGCTTCCAAATGAATGCTGGCATCGCTTAAATTTTAGTTTTGGATTTTTCGGGTTTCATCAAGGTTTTCTTTAATTGATCCATAATAAATCGCTAACGAAATGACTTTTTCTGTTTTAATGCTGGCATTTTTAAACTTTATCCATCTACATTAATTAAAATTTAATTCATACATTTTATTTTCTAGAATAGTTGAATTTTTTTTTAATTGTTTGTCCTACGATAGCTAAAAAATATTCTGAATTAGGAATAACTAAAATAGCAAAAATACATATAATATATGAAGACAAAGCGATTTCCCACTTGTTTTAAGATCGGATAAATTTAAGAACACATTTTCGTCCATTTTTTTACCCATTCATGACTCAAAAAGTCATGTATCACCCCTCCAATTATCCTGCTGCTTTCCCACTCGCTGGATATCCCCGGACTCCTCAATAACATCGATCACCCCAACAATAAGTTCCAAACACTAAGTCCATCTCTCAAAAACAAAGGGAAAAGTTGTTGCAAGCTCCTCTCAGTCACTGAATCTTCCACGTATCGTTCAAACTCAATCGGGGAGAATAGCACACTCAACTCAAATAGAGTTCGATGCAACTCAAATCTTATGTACTCCATCCGAACAATTTAAACTTTAAACTGAATCTTGTGTCCGTGGAGAAAGACATCAACATGAGGTTCGTCGGAGTTTCTTTCTGAGGTGTGCAACATCAAAAAGACGCCTCACAACATTTATTTCAAGCGTTGGCTGGATATATGACTTAATACTTTTACCGAAGATTAGGAAAAATATTTTGACTAATGGGATGAAATTTCAATGCATTATGAATTGAGACAGAAAAAATGATAGGTCGTCAACCCTCACAATCTTTATTCTGACGCATATGACCCTTAAACTGACTCTTGTGACCCTTAGTCTGACCCTCATGACCCTTATTCTGACCTTCTCGGCCCTTATTCTAACCTTGTGACCTTTAATTTGGGCCTTGTAACCCTTAATCCAACCCTCGTGACCCTTACTCTAAACCTTGTGAACCTTAATCCGACCCTCATGACTCTCTCGCCCGTATTCTAACCTTGTGACCCTTAATTTAACCCTTGTGATCCTTATTCTGACCTTTATGATTCATCTGACCCTTGTGAACCTTATTCTTACCCTCGTAACCCTTACTCAGACCCTTGTGAACCTTATTTTCACCCTCATGATCGTTATTCTGTCACGCATGACCATTATTTTGATCCTTGGCACCCTTAATTTTGGAGTCTTAATTTCAAGTCCCCGATTTTTATCACAAGATGTTAATTTAGATTTTTATAACAGAGAGATATTGTGACGAAAGTAATTTTCCACTGGTTTTCAGTTCAATGTAAATAATATTTTTCTCACAACTTAAAGCCCCTATATGCCTCCACATTTGAAATCCCTGAACGTAAAGGCAGAAGCGATACTCACAGAGACCCTGGACACATAGAAACTGGTAAAATATTGAGTCGAGACTGGATGCAGTGCAGCTGTTCAGTGACACGGAAATAATCGTTCCACCAATAGTTTCCCGTGGTCATTCGACTTTTCACTCGGTCCATTCACCCGATGCATCCACTAATCTCGCAAGAAAGTGCTTTTGAAAAAGGTCAACCCCCGATTTTCAGCATTGACCATCGGGAAAAGGTGCTCAGAATTTAGTTGCCATTGTGCATATGGCTGCAACAGCGAGATGGAGGTGAATTTTATGAGCACAGACTTTACGATTCTATTAGAGGTCGGAGGGGCTTGCCTCCGCTGCGCGACGAGGAGAGGTTTTTACGCTCTATCACGTGGTCGGAGCGTGGACCCTTTGGTGGCGGAGGTAATCGATATGAAGAGCTATCCAAATATAGTTGCAGGAGGGAGATGGATTAATCTTTTTGGGAGGGGGAGCAGCAGCTCTGGACGAGATCAGTTATGTTTGAAGTTCTGGGATACTGAAGCCTTTTTATTTCGTGAATGGGGATTCAATGTTTGATATTTGATTTACACTTTGGGAAATTGTGGATTTTGTTAACAATTTTGTTGGATATGGACTCTGGGCATTGAGTGGTAGTTCAACGTGAGAACTTACTCTGCTTTAATGTGCAAATGTAAATTAATTTGATGCGTTTCATGTATTTTGCATGCATGAATATTATTTCATGTTTTAGGATGTTATGTTTGACATTGATATCTCAAGGGCTATTCATATTAAATTGACTACTTTGAACGAAATTAGTTATGCTTGAAGTTCTGGGGTATTAAAGCGTTTTTAGTTTGTGAATGGGGACTCAATGTTTGATATTTGATTTTTACTTTGAGAAATTGTGGATTTTGGTAACAATTTTGTTGGAGATGGGCTGAGGGAATTGAACGGTAGTTGAACATCAGAACTTATTCTGCTCTAATGTAAAATTAAAAATGTATTTGATGCGTTTTATGTATTTTGCAGGCTTGGATATTATTTTATGTTATAGGATAATACATTTGACATTTATATTGCGGGGCTATTCATAGTTAAATCGGTTATGAAGTATCTCTCTATATTATAAAAATCTAAGTCACCTTCTGGTGATGAAAATTTGGTACTTGAAATTAAGACTTCAAAATTAGGGATCACAAGGGTCAAAATAAAGGTCGCAAGGGTTAAACTAAGGATTAAGAGGGTCAAAGTAAGGGTTAATGGTCATGAAAGTCAAAATGAAGGTCGTAAGGGGCACGAGGGTCAAAATAAGGGTCACGAGGGTCAGATTAAGGGTCATATAAGTCGGAATAAGGGTCGCAAGGATTAGATTAAGGGTTACAAGGGTCAGAGTAAGGGGTCACATGAGGGTCATTGGGGGTCAAAAATCTAAGTTCAGAAATTAAGAATTACGAGGGTCAAAATAAGGGTCACGAGGAGTATACTAAGGGTCAAAATGAGGATCACGAGCATTGGAGTAAGGGTCACAAGGGTCAAAGTACAGGTCTAAATAAGGGTCAGGGCGGTAAGAAATCAAAGTTCAGAAACTAAGGATTACCAGGGTTAAAATGAGGGTCGCGAGGGTTAAATTAAGGGTCACAAGGGTCAAAATAAGGACCATGGAGGATATATGGGGGTCATATGAGTGTTGGCGAGCGTAACGAGCAGGGGGTGTCGCCCCCTAGTTGAATTATAAATTCTCTACATCTAAAAAAATATAATTTTCAAGATAATTCTCACATATTTTTCACCCACAAAAATCCCCCGATTTGATTCTCGCAAACGGTTCATAAATATTCAACAGATTTATCCAGATTGACACGATAATGTCCCCCCGATATAATAGATTGATCCTGAATAATCATAGCAGATAATAACAGTTCCATAATTATTCGATCACCAGACCGCGCCCACCTGTCGCCCACACTGCATAACCAGTAAACGATAGTCCAGTGTATGATTCTGATCGGGGAAAGTCAATGTCGCACATTCAAATAGTTCTCTGGCATATTAATCATGATAATGCAGGGTGCAGCCCGGTCGTTCGATGCCACCAGGTCATGCCATCAGCTCTCGATCTTCGTTAATGCAATGTCTGACATTCTAGACTGAATTATTTATTCAAGTACCTTTCGTATTGATGAATGTAATCATAGTTATCATATAGTAGACAACATTTCTCGTGTTGAAAATTAATTCGTTAACGAGGAATGGACTGCAATCAAGGGAATAAAAATTTTTAATTAATTATTTACTGATAAAATAAAAGAAAAATAGTTAAGATTCATGTTGAAACCGAATGCAATGAATACATTGAAATGAAGAGAAACAACAACAAAACTCATGAAATAAAATAAAAAATAGTTCGTAATT